TAAATGTAGTATTTCGGGAAGATTGGGGATTTGCATTGTTAATTATTTTTCAGAAGCATTAAAAAAATACTTTCTAATTTAGGAACATTATATATTAATTATTTATTTATTTAGAAGCATATAATAGTTCGATAATACAATGATAATTCGATAATAATTTTCGTTTATTTACAAATGTGACAAAATGTACTTTAAATGCAATATTTCTGAAGGAATGGGTATTTGCATTGCTAATTGTTTTTAGAAACATTAAAAAGGATGTTTGCTAATTTAGAAGCATTATATGTTAATTTATTTATTAGTTATTAATTTATAAGCATATAATAATACAGATGATAATTAGATAATACACATTGTTTGCTTACAAATGTGACAAAAAATACTTTAAATGCAATATTTCGGCAAGATTAGGGATTTTTCATTGTTAATTATTTTACAGATACATTTAAAAAGAATATTTGATATTTTAGGAACATTATACTTTTGAGCTGATTAAAATTTCACAATTCGAATCCAAATGTAATTACGGACAATAAAGCTTCTTTTGCCTTTATGATGGTGGCATTAACATGGCGTCTTCGTAATGGGATTCCACTTCGCATATCTGTCCCTGAAGTATCAGTAATGTGCTACGGTTTGATTATCAGCTTCACTCCAGAAGTTTCATTTCAAGATGGCGGCTCATTTCCCAATTCGAAGCCAAATACTATTATCGAACAATAATGATTTTTTAATTACTTACGTGATGGTGTTTCAACATATCTTTTTTATAATGGTGGCATGAAAATAATTTGACATTGACTTAACTGATGCTTAGCTTAAATAAGTTTTTAATATAACGTTTTATGTTTAAAAAAGAATATTTTTGAAATACTTGATTATATTTTTAAAAGGTTTGTACTTGAATATGTTTTTAAAAGACTTCTATTTATTTCAAAAAAAGTTTTCGTTTATTTTTTTAATTAGAATACTTATCACTGATAGTAAATAATTCTCATAGAAAAAAATTCCATCAGGCAATACCTTATAAGTGATATTTCTAAGAAACCTGTTTTATTAGATATAAACCTAGGTTAACCCTATTTATAAGATTTGCTACATTTAAATCTTCATATTTTTGCCGTAGCAATAAAAACTAGCGAAAAATGATGGAGTAATCAAAGACACAATTTATTTCCAATTGTCCTTCTAAAATGGCCACTCCTGATAAAAAGACATTGAGGTCAAACTTTTTATCTTTCATATCGCTTCATGAAATGCCAATGGTGTTATTGGGTTCGGTTTTTCGGATTCACTGGTGGCAACGCATTTCTCTGAACTCTACAATGCTGTTGTTGTTTCTTATCCCACTTGGTAGACATCTAGACCAAGCCCGCGAATCCGTATGAGCTCATGGTTCTATAATGCTAATCACTCTTAATGTACAAGAATGAATAATGGGAAAAAATACGGTATGAAAGCGTTAAGAATCTCTATTGCTTTTGTATTCTATGGTCATTATAGAAATAGAAAAAATTTACCGCAAAAAAAATATATATATATATATATATTTGGCTTTATAGCTACTTTTTTTGCGATAGTACCCATACTACATATCGAGGACCAGAAAGTTTTCAATAACATAAAAAAACTTGAAAGCTCTAGTAGTGAAATAATTTCCATGAATGTTTGACTCAGCCTGATCTGTTTAGGTCCAAAACAACATAAACATCCATATTTTAAGTTACTGAATGGGCTGATAAATGATAAGATGTCATGTGAAGTACAAAATAAAGTTAAAACAATGCAAAACAGCTGGAAAGAGTGTAGAAGATGGTTGAATAAAGCTCAAATAAGTTAAATTCGTCAATGAGCTGCCAGTTTTATAGTAAGTATGAAAAAATGAAATATTGAGTTAAAACATATTTTTCAGTAACAGTTTTCGGGTTAAATTTCATTCATAAATACTTTAAGTGATAAGCTTATTCATTGTTTGTGTTTATTACACTGTGGCGGTGTGTGTTAAAGTGACTTGAATACAACAATAAACGTTAAATAGAAGAGAAAAGATGATTGTTTGAATTTTACACTGATAAAATATATTATAACAGAGATTCTCAAACCATGGTATGTAATACAAATAAAAATTAAATCACCTTAAGTTAATAAAAATTAGCGCAGAGAGATATAGAAGAACGGTTTAATAAATTTATATTATATATATATATATATATATATATAATTTTCTAGGTGTCAAATTCATGCAATAATTAATGTTTTTAATAAAGAATGCAAGAGGATTTGTCTTAGAAAACATCAATTGTTATACTCATCCCTTCCCCCGAACGTTAAGCCTAAAGCTGTATTTAGAAGGGTAATTAGGTCATTCATTACCAAATATTCCAGACTATTTCGTATATTTAGGAATCAAAATGTTGCGCTGACTTTTACGGCACCCTATACGTAATTTTTTTAAATAAATTTGTACTACATTTAAATAATTTTGTATGGTTCAAATAACAAAAATTATAGTATTTAATATTTTAAATATGTTTTGCTTACAGGCGCGTTATGTATGCTGTAATCATTCTTGTAAAAATTTATTATATTGACAGAAACAGGTACTTGATTGGTTGTTGAGGAACGTGGTATTTCAGTAGCAGGCAGATGATTGGATCATAGAAAGATTTCTGGCAGTTTTGGCAATTTTTGCAGAAGGCAGTTGTGGCAATTTTGGCAATTTGGCAATATCACTTTTTTTTTTAAATATCACAATAAGAAAAAATTAAGTTGAAGCGATGCCAAGTTACCGGTTCGTTATAATTTTATAATTTATAGTAATCTTTAATTAATTAGGAAGTAGGATAAATTTCTAACTATACACCAAACAAAAACTCAATTTCTATAAATAGGCAATTCATTTCATTGATGAGCGATGGCATCAAAATGTTTTTTTTGTCTGTTTTTTTTTTATAGTGAAAAATTGAACGTATATAAATATTCGTTGTTATATTTCAATAAAGTGTATTTATTGTAACTATAAATAATGTATTTCCTACGTAAATATCGAGTGAAAAGTCATAGACTTTCATAGATCGTAAAATGAAATAAATTCAATAAACTGTCAAAACACACAATGATATTTAAGGATGTAATATATTACAGGGAGAGCAAAAGGGAAAAATATTTACATAGACAAATATACATACACAATGTACGAGACATACAAATATACTTTAATATATGAAAGACTTTTTAAAAAAAAGATTTTACAAACACTGACAAGTATTTTTAAAGCCACAATGGCTTTGAAAATTCATGTTTTATGCAAACACTATATATTACTTCTTGGTCGTAATTTCCAAGTATCAGTACAATAATTTATAACTCTTTGTTGTTAGACATCAAAAATATTTTTAAAAATCTATTTATTTATTTCATTTAATACTCTATACTATCTATTCACCATAACGAATTATTTAAGCAAAGAAATATCTCTAAGCATTTGTTTCTGTTAATAAAATTTCCCAAGCTTAATTATGGAAAAAGAAAATGCAAATTCTAAAAATGTAAATTAAGCAAAAAGCATTTGAAAATTCTTAAAATCATTTGAGTATATATATTTTTTAATTCATTGTTAATTCTTTATATTATTAGCTTTTCTGCTTCCCAGTTATTTCTTGGAAATGAATTATAAATATAATTAACTAATTTAATGAATTTAATGCACTTTAAATTGTTTCTTAATGAATTTTAAATAATATATTTTGAAATCTCTAATGATGGCGTAATTAGTCTTTGTCTCACTGAAAGCGTTAAACTCATCCATTAAGTCAAAACATGTTTTCGCTCCCGTCTTTAAATAAAGTAATTCTTCAAAGTGATAAATCAGTACTAAGTATTTAATGAATAATATGTATATGAATAATGGAAATGCGTTCTGCGGAAATACATTTATTAATAATAATGCGGAAGCAAGTCAATTGTGGTTTTATCTCAGGAGTATTTTTTATGAAAAATTTAAATGATAGATTGTGAATACTCAAATTAATTAACTTTGCGCCATTTTGATGCAGAAATTGTGCGTTGGAATATCTGCATAAAGATATTTTGAAGAATTTAATTTTGAATTATCGTTATTTTATGCCTTGAAAGTATGTGTGTTAATTGTTGTTATAATTGAGCTTGACTCATACCCGGCCACAATGTTTTTTTTATTACATTTCTTAAATGGTGAATGTGTAAAGTAGTCTATGGTCAAAATTCATCTATTGCATAATTTCTCCTTAAAGTATTTGTGGCCTGATGGCCAATTGGTTAGCAATCTGGCCTTTAGTGCCACAAGCTTTTCAGATTCGAATCCTGGTGGTAGCATGCATGTTTATTAGTGGTTAGGAACCCACGCTAAACTGCAGGTCCCAGTATAATCAGCCTAAAGTCTGCAAAAAAAAACATCGTATAGTGACAAACTAAACTAATCTTCTTGAGGTATTAGCAGCGTGCTCAGATTTTTTGTCTCACACTATATGGCTTATTTTGCTGAATTCTATAATATCAAAAGACATATATAATGCTCAAATATGAATGATTGAAAGCTATGAGCAACAAAGCCACATTTATATCAGTATCCTACACAGTAATTAAAAAACGTTAAAATCAGAAAACAGATACTCAACTGGATAGTTATTTTCTATAACAATCTACCTTTATTGCATCGAGGTATTCTTAAGTTATGTCGTTTCCAGTAAGAAGAAAAAATATGAGAATTCCCTTTGTCTTTATTAGGTTAAAAGAATCATTTCAAAACAAACAAGATGACTTTTTTACTTTGATGTGCATGTAAAAAGTTAATAAGTAATACTGCATACTACATTACACGTTTCTCATATATATATATATATATATATATATATATATAATATATATATATATATATATATATATATATATAAATATATATATATATATATATATATATATATATATATATATATATATATATATAATGTTTTAAATGAGCCAACGGCCGTACCATGCTGAATATACCGGTTCTCGTTAGATCACCGAAGTCAAGCATCATTGGGCGCGGTCGTTGGGTGGGGGCCACCTGGGAACACCGCGTGCCGTTGGCAAATTTGGGACCTGAATGGCCGAGTGTCTAGCGCTCTGGCGCTCGGTGCCACAGGTTTTGGGTTCGAATCCGGCGGTGCCATGGATGTTTGTAGTGGTTCGGAATCCACTTTAAGCTGTAGGTCTCAGTCTCCCTATGACTGTAAAAGAGCGTCACGGGAGCAAAATTCAGGCTTCTACCTACGGGTGCTCCATCACAACAAAGCTGCTTCCTTCCCCTTCAATCATAAGCACGTATGGGCTCGTGGGCAGCCAGCCAAGTGGGATAAGAAACAACAACAACAACAACATGTTTTAAATTTCATTGTCTAAAACGAAACTTTTACTCTCGAATTTCACATTTAGCACATTCACATAGCGTCTTTAACATAAATGAACAATAAAAATTTGCTCATTTTAATTGCGTTAAATTATCCTTGACTTTTCAAAGTAAAATAGCATTAAATACATAGTTATAGTGAATGCATTAAGAAATGGAGAGATCATTAAATATAACTCAAAAAGAAAGAATAGTCTTATTTACTATCCACCAAGAAGTTTTTATCGTGCCACCATTCACCCTCAAGATTTCTTTACACCTAGATTCCACCACGATAAGTGGGAAGGTGTGGTGGGTGTTGCCCCCCACGAGCATGAAAAAGGGTAATCAACGCTGATGGAAAGATCCTTCAGGTTGTAACAGTCAGCAAATGATGGGGTTTTACAGAAACTCGGTTAATATCAGAACAGATAGGCGGTACATCTGATATTCTCTATCACTATGACCTCTTAATCTACACAGTTTACGAGGAAGCAATTGTAGCACAATCTACCTGAAGAAATCGAGCTTTCGATAACTGCAAAAATTATCCCTGTGTCAAAAGTGGCATACTTACCAAAATGTGGTATAGGATCTTTTTATATTTTTATATTACTTTTTTATTTTTATGGCAGCAAGTTTTTTTGATGGTTTTTTTTTTTCATGTCTAGTAAAACTTTCGATATATATTAAGAATTCCTGTCTATGATACAACAATCGACTATCTTTGGACAAACTTTCTTCTTATACAATTAAGAAAGTTAGAAACTGGCAAGTACACCCTTGGGTAACATTTTAGGATGTGCCTTGAAATATTGGCTTCTGAGCAAATATTTCTTACCTCAAAAAGGAAAATACTGGGAAATGAATTCTATGGGTTTTTTTTTTCTTTATCACAAAATCACTTATGATTAAGTTTCCTAAAATAATAGAAATATATCTTTAAAAAAAAAAAAAAAAAAAGAAACAGCTGAAAATCAATAAATTGGGATTACATGATAAAAAAAACCAATATTTACAAAATCTAAGCAAAATAAGCGTAGATGAAGTGCCACATCAAAATATGGCTTAGAAATTCGTGGAGCTGCTTGCTCTTTCATACCATGGTGTCACCTGCAATTTATTATTTAATGTGATATCTTAAATTTTGTAATGAGTTGTGTGTGCATGTGTATCTTTGTGTTGTTCTTTGATACATAAATCACTTGTGATTAAGTTTGATAAACTAATAGAAATCTAACTTTTTTCCAAATAATAAATGGAAAAATCAGTAAATTGTTATCGCATGGTCTAGAAAGGCATTCGAAAATCTAATGCAATAAGCTTAAATGTAATGCTGCATCAAAATATGGTTTAGAAATTCGTGGATCTGCGTGCTATTATACCATTGTGGTACCTGCCAAGTATTGTTGAAAATATGTAAACTTTTGTATTATGTTTTCAATTAGTTAGATCATCTATAAAACGTTAAATATGTTAATATGACAAAAAAAACATGCTTTAAACATCAAAAATTTAGTACATGTTTTTTTTTACGACAGGTCCTCAGTTATGCTGGAGAACTTACCAAGATTAAGATACGCGAAAGTAAAAATTTATCACAATTTTTTTTTAGCTGAGAAGTTAAAAATGTATTATGGTAGCAACTCCGGAGCACGTCATACTGAACGTAGTACAGAAAAAAAAATGTACCTTCCTATAATAAATTTCCTCTTGGGACTTTTTCCCGAGTCAAAAAAGGAGTGAACTGACTTATACTTTTTTCCTTAATGCTTTGTATCTCGTTATGGGCGTTGAAGACTCGATTAAGGACTATATACGATCGGCAACATCTGCTTTATTCAAACATTTTCCTTGACTATTTTTTATTCCTTTAAAATATGGCTTGTGCTAAAACTATTTAGGAATATTATCGTAAAGTTTGATGGTCAAATCGTAAATTATGCTGCATTTTTCCTTCCTGGTTTTTACTATGTCACACATTTTTAATTAATAATATGTTTTTATTACTGCAGAGAAGTAAATAAATACTGATTTGTGTAAGGCCAAAATAACGTAAATATACAGTGGCGGTTGTGACGCTAAATATTCTTTAGTGAAGAATCTGCCACTTAATGTCATGTTAAGGTAAAATGTCATGTTAAGGTAAATATTCTTTAGTGTGAAGAATCTGCCACTTAATGTCATGTTATATATATATATATATATATATGTTTGTTGTTGTTTCTTATCCCACTTGGCTGGCCAAGCCCACGAGCCCATATGGACTCATGATTGAAGGGGAAGGAAGCAGCTTCTGTTGTGATGGAGCACCCGTAGGTAGAAGCCTGACTTTTGCTCCGTGACGCTCTTACAGTCATAGGAGACCGGGACCTACGGCTTAAAGTGGATTCCGAACCACTACAAACATCCATGGCACCGCCGGGATTCGAACCCGAAACCTGTGGCACCGAGCGCCAGAGCGCTAGACACTCGGCCATTCAGGTCCCAAATTTGCCAACGGCACGCAGTGTTCCCAGGTGGTCACCCACCCAAGTACTGACCGCGCCCAATGATGCTTAACTTCGGTGATCTAACGAGAACCGGTATATTCAGCATGGTACGGCCGTTGGCAGTATATATATATATATATATATATATATATATATATATATATATATATATATATATATATATATATATATATATATATATATATATCATAGGGCTTTGGAGCTCGGTGCCTCAGGTATTTCGGATTGGAGTCCCAACGGCACCATGTATGTTTGTAGTGGTTTGGAATCCACTTTAAACAGTTGGTCCCTGCCTAATATGAGTGTATAGAGTGGGGTTGACAATCCTACCCCGTAAAAAGAAAACATCTTATGCTTCGGAATCTGCCAGTAGACAGAGAGCCTTAGTCTACTATACGGCTATTGCGCCATTGAAGAAGATAATTTATTCTTATATAAATTTATTCTCTGAATATTAATTATATATATATATATAATTAATATTCAGGGAATAAATTTATATAAGATTAAATTATAAAAATCCTTTTCCACAAGAATTTTCTCATATTAAGTATATCAATTTTTACATTGTTTGTTCATGATTATCATGTTAATGGCCTGCAATAATTATGCAAAATATATAGAATTTTAGAATATTGGAAACCTAGGTACTGAACTAGGTGGGTTGGGGATACTAGTCATTTCCAATAGAAGGACTATTGCCATCCTGGATAAATTTAGACGTAACTGCCTCCCATTTTCCTGGATAAATTGTAATAATTCAACGCATAAAATCCGACTGCTAATAGATATTCCTTGTCTCATCTATACAGTTTCTTAACCTTTTCAATTTAATGTATACTCGTACAAGTATAATGAAAACCATGGACTCTTTCTTAGACTCCGTTATACCAGGTTAGGGAAAAGAGATTCAGAATGAATTCTTTAAAGCATAATTATTATATATATATTTGTGTGTGTGTACATCCAAGTTAAACTTGGATATCACCTGAGTTGAAAATAAATCATATGGTTATACATTTGTTTAAAAGGAGACATCAATAAATGCAGAACGAATTCTTTATGTATATGTGAAAAGTGAACATGTTGGTAATGAGCAATGCAGCATTTAATTTTTTTTATTTCATTGCAAAAGCAAATTACAAAAGCTTATGGTAAAACTATTTTACTACAATCAACAGCATTTCTGAGTATCAGAAGAATTTTAAATATAAAGAAGATACTACACTTTCAAGCAAATTACTTCAGGTACTTCTGTCAGTTTATTTAATTCATGTGGCGACAGCAATTCATGTGATTAATGTAATCACAGTGGATGTCATTTTTTTGAAAAGTTTATTGAATAATATTATGATCAAATAAAAAAATTACAAAACTAAATAAAAATATTTTATAAATACATCATACACTCTAATTACTTGAGTTAATAACTGTTCATTGTGAGTAACAAATTTATTAATCGAGCTGACGTTAAACATATCAAGTTAATAAATTTTACATATTTTTATAGAGGGGACCTTAATGGCCGAGTGTATAACGCTAATACTTTATTTTATATTTAGTATAATAATATAAATTACCTGTTACTGGCTTTTTTCTGATGAATGGCCACTCCATCCCATTATGCATTATATAAATAATGTTGTTAAGTTAATATAAACAAATATATAAAATTTACATATTACTAAGTTAATTATATTAGATATACATATCAAACTTAAAAAGAAATTGATTATTTAGAACAGCGGTGGCCAACCCAGATGATCTTGCGGGCCACTTGGGAAAACATCATAACTCCGCGGGCAGCATATAAAATTATATATCCCCATATTAAATTTAAACTTATTATATTTAAATTTTTTGGAGTGAAAAATTTAAATATAATAAGTTATTATTATTATGTTAACTAGTATTATTATATGTAAACATATACAATATAATAATAATAATACTGAACGCACATTGTAAAGAAATATATAACACAAAAAAAGAAATATAAAAAATATATAAATATGAATGAAATAAAAAAAATTGAAATCATTAAAAAATATTTATTTTACTAGTGCAATATTTATTTCTCCACTCTGTCAATTAGGTTTTGCAAATCAATCTCTATTTGGTTATCTGCACATCGTAATTGGTGTTGCAATCATAATTGTAATTGATGTTGTATCGTAATTGGTATTT